TAAACTATGATAAGGAACTTACTTTATTTTTTTTAAAAATAATATATAATTCTTGTTTGTGATAATGTAATTCTAAAAGGTGTAATTAAAAGTGTTTCAAGATTTACCATAAATTTAAATAACTTTATATTTTTGTATCATAAAATAGGTTTGCAATTAAGAGATAAAATATTTGTAATATTTATAGGGTTAATGTCATAAAAACCCTCAAGTTTTCAGGGTTTTGTCGGTTTTGCCCAAAGTTGAATTTTATGTCCGTTTTTTCCCTAACATTTTCGAAAAAATGTTTGGTTTTACCCTTTTACCGGTGACAGCAGGTTTTTCAGGTTACCATTATATTAAATTCGCAAAAAACCATTAAGTTTACCATTTTTTTGCATTTTTACCCTTAAGTTGATAATTTTTTTTTTTACACTTTTACTCTAAGTATTTTTTTTTTCATAATATACGTATTCATGCAGAAAAATCGTATTTATATATGAAAAAATGTCTAATTAAATATTGTATTTATATTTTTTTTAAGGGCTAATGTCATAAAAACCCTCAAGTTTTCAGGGTTTTGTCGGTTTTGCCCAAAGTTGAATTTTATGTCCGTTTTTACCCTAAAATTTTCCAAAAAATGTTCGGTTTTGCCCTTTTACCGGTGATAACAGGTTACCATTATATTAACTTCGCAAAAAAACCCTTAAGTTCAGGGCCGGCTCAGAGATTTTAAGGGCCCTGTGCTAAGAAGAAAAATGAGGCCCTAAATATAATTTTTTAATATATAAGATAAACAAACTTAAGACGGTGAATTGTCGTTACGGAAAACTTAAAAGTAAACAAATTAATTAAAAAGGAACATATGGAATTTTATAAAAAGTTCAAGGGTTAACTGTGTAACTTTTGAAAACTTATTTGTTAAAGGAAGGGTTGATTATGAATTATATAGTATAAAATAAGGGCCAAAACTATAAATTGATTTAAATACGTCAAAATGATGTGGACATGAATCGAACCGTACACTTGTATGAAAAAGAAGAGGATGCGGATGTGCTTATGCCAATTGAGCTACACAGGATTTATGCAAAAACTTGAATAAACTAATATATATTTATTTATTAAATATATAATTTAATTAAAACTCAGACCCTATTTTTTTCGGGGCCCTGTGCGGCTGCACCTCTTGCCCCCCCTTAAAACCGGGCCTGCTTAAGTTTACAATTTTTTTACGTTTTTACCTTTAAGTTTATAATTTTTTTTACACTTTTTACCTTATGTATTGTTTTTCATATTATACGTATTCATGTAGAAAAAAACATATTTATATACGAAAAAATTTTAATTAAATATTGTATTTATATTTTTTTAATGTTATATATATATATATTACTTTATCTATCTATCTATGTGTGTGTGTGTGTGTGTATAGGTTTTTTTATTGGATAAACCAATTAAGATGTAAAAAAAACAAATTAATATGTTTTTAGAACTAAAAATCAGTATTTTTATGTATTTAAAAATATAAATATCAATAAAAAAACTTGTTCAATCATAAACATGTTATATATAGTATCACTATATTTTTTAGAAGTGTAAATATGTATTTTTGATATATGTTTTTTTTAAAGTATAAATATATTTTTAGAAGTCTAGATACCATCTTAATATATAAAAATGTAAAAATATGTATTTATTACTTCTCAAAAACTATATCTATAAAAACGTATCATAATCTAAAAAAATATTATTTATCTTTTTAATGGTAGAACCTTGCAAAAACACACACACAAACAAACAAAACCAAATATATATATAGATATATATATTCTATATATAATATATAACCTTAAAACAAAATCTAAATATGATATTTAATTAAACATTTTTCGTATATAAATACGATTTTCTGTATGAAGACGTATATATGAGAAAAAAAAATTAGGGTAAAAGTGTAAAAAAAAAATTATAAACTTAAAAGTAAAAATGCAAAAAAAAACGGTAAACTTAAGAGGGTTTTTGCGGAATTTATATAATGGTAACCTGGAAAACCTGTTATTACCGGTAAAAGGGAATTAAAACCGAACATTTTTCGAAAATGTTAGGGGTAAAAACGAACATTAAATTCAACTTTGGACAAAACCGACAAAACCCTGAAAACTTGAGGGTGTTGATTACATAACCTTTTTTTAATGTTATATATTATATAGATATATATAGTATAGCGATATATATATAGATATATATACTATATATATATATATATATTGTTTTTTGTGTGTGTGTGTGTTTTGCAAGGTTATACCCATTTTAAAAGATAAATAATATTTTAGAATTATAATACGTGTTTTATAGATATAATTTTAGAAGTATAAATACGTATTTTTACATTTTTATATATTAATATGTATCTCTATATTTCTAAAAATATATTTATACTTAAAAAAAACATATATCAAAATACATATTTACACTTCTAAAAATATATATATACTTATATAAACATGTTTATGATTGAACAAGTTTTTTTAATTGATATGTATATTTTTAAATACATAAAAATACGTATTTGTAGTTCTAAAAACATATTAATTTGTTTTTTTTACATCTTAAATGGTTTATCTAGGAAGAAAAACCCATATATACACACACACACACACACACATATATATATATAATATTAAAAAAATGTAAATACAATATTTAAATAAATTTTTTTCGTATATAAATATGATTTTTCTGCATGAATACGTATAATATGAAAAAAAATACATGGGGTAAAAGTGTAAAAAAAATTATAAATTTAAGGGTAAAAACGTAAAAAAACTGTAAACTTAAAGGTTTTTTCGAAGTTAATATAATGGTAACCTGCTATCACCGGTAAAAGGGTAAACCCGAACATTTTTTGGAAAATGTTAGGGTAAAAACGGACATAAAATTCAACTTTGGGCAAAACCGACAAAACATTGAAAACTTGAGGGTTTTTATGACATTAGCCCATATTTATAGGTAAATAATTATTTAAGTTTTAGTGTTATTAACATATTTTAGTGTAGTTATTATTGCTAAAGAGACAGACTGAGTCAGTTTACTATTCGAGACCGAATGTGCAGGGTGCACACTCAAAATGATAAATATTGACTCGGGAATACGAGGGTCCGATGACAGCACTTCTATGTATAGGGTTCCAAGAGACAGAACCCTGACGATAGTTATTCTCTTAGTTACTGCTATTAACCACCATTTTGCCCTATAACCACTTTTTGAAAAACGCCAACTTCCAAGTGTAAAATGGAAGATGGTCTTTGCATGCAAATGTTACCAAGTTTATAACTAGAATTCATATTCTTCTCTTTGCATGCAAACTTTCTATCTGATAACACAACACAACATGTATATTCTGACAGTTTGTGTTTCATATTTGGAAGAAGCCTGAATTTCAAATTGATTATTCTTGGATTATCCAAAATCAGATTTCGTGATACCCCAAACAATATAATCGAAATCACAAATTTTGAAAAATATATATACAAAACAAGATCCTAAAATTATCCAAGTTATTATTAATATTCTTAGACTTAAAATCTACCAACCTATTTACCAAAGTCCGAATACTTATAGTGTAACGGTGTCAAAAGTTGAAAAATATGTCTCTCGTCCAAAGGGTTGAGGGTGTTGGTGATTTTAATGATATCACTATATCTGTGTACTTGAGATTCTATTTGAGACATGCTTACTTTCTCTCCAAACCTACCATTGGGAGGATAATTTGGGAGGATAATCAGGAGAAATAAATATCGATAATAATATTTTCTCTTCTTTCCACTTCCTTTCAATAAAAAATGGAAAATCATTATTTTTTCTCCTTTGTTTCAACTTTATTTCACTCCTCTCCTTAATAACGACTTGCAGGTACGTTGCTAATGATAAATAAACATTTTAAGAAAATCCAACTTGTCATAGAATAAAAAGGCTTTGGAGTTGTCACTATGCATATCTGAAACGATATTGTCTAACCCTTTAAAGCTCCCGCAAAACCTCGTGAGGGCCCTCGCACCTGCTGCCATTGATAATTGTATGATCCATCAATCTCAAGGGAAATGAGAGTTGTGTGTTGTTTATTAGTTGGATGTCTAGTGGTTGTTGTTATCTTTCTGCATAGATCAACTGTAACAATTGTGTGCTCTTGAAACCCCAAAGTGAAATGTCGTTCTAAAACACAATATGGTTGTAATTGTTGATATGAGTTGTTCTAATTAGATCCATGATTTATTGATGAGTAAACTTTTATAGTATTGTTTTTGTTTTCATTGTTTGGTTTAATCTGCAAATTGTTTATATATCATCGCCAACACTAGTCACCTTTTAGGATATCCATGTATGATCGAGATCAAAAGTATTTGTTGTCAGTGTTAGTGGTTAGTGACATAACTGATTTGGGGATTAAATTTGTGTCTTCATCATGCTGCTTTGGCACACTCCGGTTGTATTAATCAATTTTGGACATAATAACATATAATATAGCTAGCCAAAAATCACCTGATTCAACTTTTTCTTTCAGAAATATAACGAATACAAAATTATTCTGATTGGTCTAGTCATTCCACCTCGACTGAGGTCTTATTCTTTCATGAGCAATGGGAGATTTGTTTTCATCCAAAGAGACATCTTTGATAATTGACAAATCCAAAAATAATATTGCCATAACTTTTTCGAACGGAAGTATGATAATATTTATTTTAAATAAAATAACAGTTGTTATTTTAATTAATAAAAACACGAGGAATTACACGTCGATATTTCTTCCAAAGTGCATTGAATTTGTTGGCCCATTGCATTAACCCATTGCATTAACCAATGAAAACGAATTGCGGAAAGGGAAAGCTCGGTTTTCAAACGGGAGAAAATGTTGACCAAAAAAATTAAAAAACCAATAACATTTGATCCGACCCGATTACATCCAACCCGCTTCTTTAAGCGCCATCTATATAAATTCCTAAAAGAGTAAAAGGGTAAGAGCGCAAAAACGCCCAAAATCAAATATTAACAAAAAAAAAACCCCTCATCATCAACCTTTGTCTTTTGCTTAAAAAATGGATACTATTTGGCAGGAACAGAATCATGGTGGCGGCGGTTTTCAGCTGCCGGAGAGTCCAAGGAGGCCGATGGAGTTCTTGTCGAGATCATGGAGTGCTGCTGCTCTCCAGGTCTCTAAAACTCTACACTCTCCGCTATCTCCATTGATTCCAAAATCTGGTATTAATACTGATAATACCGGTGCAAACTCTGTTGCCGCCGCGGCGGAAAACAACAACCGTTTCTCCGGTGTCGAGGCAGCGGAGGAATCAGCCGCAGCCGCAGCCGCATTACTGTCTGGAAACACGTTCTCGTTTGCGTCCTCCGCCACTTCGCAGCTAGTGCTCGAACGCATCATGTCTCAGTCCGTGAGTTCTCTCTTACTGTATTTCAAACGTTTAGAAATCAAACAGAGTGTTCTTATCTTGTGGTTTAAGGCGGAAATGTGTAATCAACTAGTAAACAATATAAGACATCATTTTCTGATTATGATTTCGAAAAATAATAGCGATAAATTTTTTTAACGCTGTTTGTGTTTATGTTTTTAAAGGATCCATCGTCATTATCATTTTATTCTGTACATCAAAGAAAATGTTTGTGTTTATGTTTTTAAAGGATCCATCGTCATTATCATTTTATTCTGTACATCAAAGAAAATTGTTGCTCTACCGAAATATAAATGCAACTGGACATATATGATTTCCCTGCAGTTCCCCTAAAAAACCAGTAGGAGGTGTCTAATATTAGTTTATTTTTGAAAAAAATGTTTATATTTTGGCGATTTTAATTGTTACTTTTACGTTTAAATTGTAGACAGAATGATTATAAAACTGGTTTACTAAGAAACATTGGTATATTTTTAGTAGCTACAGTATTTTTAAGGAATTGTTGAGTAATTAATATTGATGGGGTATGTGGGGATAACAGGATATATCGCCATTAGCATCAGGGAGGCTGTCACACAGCAGTGGACCTTTAAATGCGACGTTGACGGAGGAAACCGATAGTCCTCCGATCTCCCCTTCCGATGACTACGACGATGTCGTCAAGGTAAAGAACTCCTCCAATCTTTTCTATTTACCTTTAATTTATGAAATTTAGGGCACCAAAAAAAATGTTTAAACTTAAAAGTAGTGTGTAGTGTGTACGAGTATGAGTGACGACTGAGCACTTGTTTTTTCATCTGTTGGGTTACTATTTCTCAATTTAACCCTTGTCTCTCTCGGTTTTTGTTTTTTGACTTGAAAATCCAAAAATTGTTTGGAATTTGTTTTGTAAAATAGTGTAATGTGGAAAGACAAGACAATTATTGTGATCTGATGGTTTCTTTCCAATCTGAACAAAAATCAGAGAGTGGCGCCGGATGACGTGAGCCCCCTTCCCTCTGTAAGTCTAGGTCTAGGACCTCCGATCGCCGGCTATTTTTACTTTAAACTTTAACTTTCTTATCGTTACTCGACAACCCTTTTGCCCAGCTTTTCTTTTTACCTTCATGTTAACGGAAGTTACAGTTTATTTATAGGTCTTGGACAATCTTTCTGATAAGTATATACAATAGTAACAAAAAAAAGGATTAATTATTTCTGTGAGATACTCAGATGTTGATGTTCTGGATTAATTTGTCTTTTTTGTCATTAAATTAAGTTAATTAAGACAAAAACAAGAACAATGGAAGCATCTAAGTTCTGGGGATTAGCAATATAGTGATCTCTCTCACTGTTTTTTTTATGTAAAAGATACATAGTAGAATACTTCACTTAAATAAGCAAAGAATCTGCCTACTTTTTCTTTCTCAAGGCTGTATTCGTATAAGCTTTAATGCTTGGGGTACATGTGTATGTAAACTGTAAAGTAGTAAAGCACTAAAGCATAGATAACGCAAAGAGGAAACTTAAGCCTTTTTTGCTCTTTTTCACAGTGTACAATTTATAATGCATGACTTGCATTCATGTTGGATCCAAGAAAAAAGGACTGAAAACTTATCCCAATCATTAATCGGTTCTTTCCTTTTTTTTAAAGGTAAATACTAAATAGTGTAAATAGAGTAGAAATACTGAAGTAGAATGAATAATACCAAGAGTTAATAACTCATGCAGCGAAAGTTGTACATGGATTTAATTTTTTTCTACTTTGGAAAAGACAATAACTTCTTTTAATGAATGATGAAAGACATCAAAAATGAAATATAAGAAGATTTGCGAATCTTGATTAATAAAGGCCCGAAAAGACACCAGTAGTAGCCAACTGTGATGGTCAAGTTTAGACTACCCTTCGTGTTTTTGGTGTTGGCTTTAATTTCTTTTTATAGGTTTTTATCGTTTTAATGATAAATAAATGCAAGTACCCTTTTCCTATTTGGTGAAATCTTATTTAACTGATGTAATATTTAACTGATGTAGTTACAGATATGTCCAAAAGTAAATTTTCAAATGATGTAATTACAGATATGCCCAAGAGTAAATTTTTAAATGTGAATGGTGTTTTTGATTATTTGCGTTGAGCTTAAATTGAAAAACACTTAAAGATACTTTAACTATTTTACCATTCTGTATAATATGTTTTTTTAAGTAAAATTTTAACAGTGATTTATAACAAATTAATTATAATCTTAATATTCTATGTAAGATTTACATAAAACTAAAACTGTAAAAAACGATAACTTTTGCTTAACATCAAATGGTTTTAAAAGATGTCACATGGAAAGATAAAATAGCACAAGGGTGCATTTCTTTGGTACCATTGTATAATATCTAAATTATTATTTAACAAAATATTAAAAAAATATGTATCGTAGGTCCAAATCAATGTCAATGACTACTAAAAGTCTAAAATGGTAATTTAACTTGCCTTCGGTGAAAAAGTATATATAGTAATCTATTTGACGTAGAAATTGTATTTGGGGAAAAAGTGCGGTTTTACCAGCTTTGAAGTACAAGTCTTCATATAAATCTTTGATTGTCTGGGTTTTTGGTAATTTTACAGCTGGTAAAAATGGGGTGAAACATGATTCTTTTTCATGCTTCTTTTATCAACAAGAATTTATTGTTCCCAAATGATTCCGCAAATATATAGATAGATAGTCAACAATGTACAATTTTTTTATCCGATGTACGAGTTTTATAGAAGTAATTTTATGGATATGGTAAAATTTACAATAGAAAATAACCCTCTGAAATCTACGACCTACTTTTTTTAACCTATGTCACCCTCTAGCTTTGTTCTTACAGACTGTGATCTATCACAGTTGTCTTCTTGTCCTCTGTTTTCTCAACAGTTCTTTAAGTCACTCATGGGGTCCCTCGCCAATCGCCATTCCAAACTACAGTACAAAATGAGTTTCGAATGTCAAATCTAATTTAATACTTTCCTTTTCCATATCTAATAATAAACACAACTGTTCATAATACAAATTAAAATAATATAAACAGGTTTAAAAATATAAAATAATTATTTCTAAATATCAATCTCATTGCAGTATCTTCGAGCAAACAACTCGTTACAACCCCTGTTTGTCAACGCACGTAGCGGTGGTTACACAGGCGGCAGCAGCACCTGCCGGGAAAACGGTCGGAAGGTGGTTAAAAGAGCGGCGAGAGAAGAAAAAGGAAGAGACCAGAGCCCATAACGCGCAACTTCATGCAGCGGTTTCCGTTGCCGGCGTGGCGGCAGCTGTGGCCACCATCGCAGCCGCCACCGCCGCAGCTTCAGCCTCTAGAAAAGACGAGCAAATGGCGAAAACCGACATGGCGGTGGCCTCTGCCGCCACCTTGGTTGCCGCCCAATGCGTGGAGGCCGCTGAAGCCATGGGAGCTGAACGTGAACATCTTATCGCGGCTGTTAATTCTGCTGTTAATGTCAAGTCGCATGGTGATATATTAACCCTCACTGCCGCAGCTGCCACAGGTAAACAAACAATACTCTAAACAAACAATACTCTGACACTGACCAGGTGACAGTGTAAGTTTATTGCATGTCAAACACAGTACAACCTGTCAGTGTGAGTTTTAGTTGTACTGTACAAACCGCTAAGGAAGTGAAAACGTGTGTATTTGTAGCTTTACGTGGTGCGGCGACTTTGAAGGCACGTGCATTGAAGGAAGTATGGAATATAGCAGCGGTTATTCCGGTTGATAGAGGAGTGAAAGAAAGCAAAAGCCATGGAAAGAGTGGTGGTTACTGTGAAGAGCTTCTTCCGGAAGAAAACTTTCTTGGCATTTGTAACCAAGAACTTCTTGCTCGTGGTAGTGAGCTTCTTAAACGTACACGTAATGGTAATAATCGAAAACTTTGTCTTCACATATGTCAAATTATTTGTTTTTCTATGAATTTTAAATAAATCATTAATGTTTGAACGATTAATGTAGGTGATCTGCATTGGAAAATTGTATCTGTTTATATCCATCGAACGGGTGAAGTAATGCTAAAGATGAAGAGCAAACACGTTGGCTCTACGATCACGAAAAAGAAGAAAAGTAAGTGATTTTAACTTTTCTGGATAAATGATATTTATGAATTATGAGGGCACATTAATTGGTAAATAGAGGGAAAAAATAAATGTGTCAGTTTGTAAAAGGTAATTAGGGGTGAATAGGGAAAGTATGTTTACTTTCATTTATTTAGTTTACAACATTTTAGTTTAAAAAATCTACTTCAATGATTGTTTCTTTTTTACTTAATACGGAAAGAATTAAAATCTACTTTAGTGGTTGTTTCTTTTTTACTTTTCTTTTTTACTTAATATGGAAAGAATTATTCTTTTAGTGTATTGACCTATTTCTTTCCACCAAACTCCTCTAATGTTAAAATTGTTTGTTGGGATGCAAAGGTAAAATGATATATAGTTACATTTATGTAGTCTAGAAAAGAAACAGATTTTTATGTATACAAATATCCAGTTTTGCCATACATGACTTAATAGGGAATTAAAAAGAAACAAGAAACTTATTATAGATTTTGTGATGTGTGAAATCTCGTAGATGTTGTTTTGGAGGTTTGCAAAAACATGCCTGCGTGGCCAGGGAGGCACCTATTTGAAGGCAGTGAGCAACGGCGCTACTTTGGGCTGAGGACGACCATTCGTGGAGTAGTGGAGTTTGAGTGCAGGAACCAAAGAGAATACGACATGTGGACTCAGGGTGTGTCACGTCTTTTGTCAATTGTGGCCGAAAAGAAGCTCTCTCGACGGCCATAAGGTTTAAGCCTTTAAGGTTAGTTAGGGACACTGTCCTCCTACTCCTACTACTTAGTTTTGCTGTTTTGGACGACAAACATTGTAAAGGTCTGTGTGTGTGGTATGGGCTAATGGCTGGCAGGTTTAGGGAGTTTATAATTATAGTTATAGGCTTATTTGATGGGGGTGTGTAATGAATTTAATGATATACGTTTGGTTGGTGTTGGTAGTTGATAGTTATCGATACATTTTCATAAACCAAACATACGTTGGCCTTGGGCCCTTGGCTAGATATATATTATAATCTTCTATTTGTCCTATGTTATCCCCCCAAAATATTCTCTTTAATTAAATCAACAACTTCATTTCTTTTCACATTATTTTATCTTTAAAACATTCAAATTAATGTTTAAACCAAAACTAGAAAAGATTCACCGGGGTTGCCGGGGTCGGAAGGTATTGCTTTGTAAAGTAAAGTAGCATGTTGGTTGCTTTTTGTCTGTTAATGTGAGAGTAGTTTGGTCTTTTCAAGTAGTAGGGACTGAATTTGTCACCATGGGTAAACCATATGGGACCATTTATGTAATTTTGGCGGTGGTGGTGGTGGTGGTGATGGCAGATGG